AAGCCCCATCATATTAATTTCAGTGCCTATAATGTGCTATTCCATTCCATACTCCCTACCCTTGCCCAGGCTCTCTTGGAAATGCCTCCCTCCCACCCACCAGGCCCCTTTTACAGATCCCCTGGCACTGTCACTTCCTCTGGAGTAGTTTATAAGGGCTTCCCTGGTAGCTCAAATGGTAAAGAATCTGCCTGCAATGCAAGGAACCCGGCTTCAATCCCTGGGTTAGAAGATTCCCTGGAGAAGGGAATGGCTACCCACTTCAGTATTCTTGCCTGGAGAATTCCATGAACAAAGGAGCCTGGTGAGTTTCAGTCCATGGGGTTGCAAAGAGTTGGACATGACTGAGTGACTAACACATGGGTAGTGCTGATCTCCAGAATGACCTGGATTCAAATCTCACACTGCACATGGTAGCTGTATGACTTCTTCAAATTATCTGACAATTTTGTGCTTGAGATCCTCATCTTAAAATGGAGCTAATTCGACTGATTCATGTCAATGTGTGACAAAAACCACTACAATATTGTAAAGTAATTAGCCTCCATCTAATAAAAATAAATGAAAAAAAAAGACAAAAAAAGGAAGTGAATGAAAAAAAAAGAAAAAAAATGGAACTAATTCTAGAACCTGCATATGAGTAAGTTTGAGAATTGTCAGTGCATAAAAAGTGTGGAGACACTTTTAAGTGCCTGACACATAAGAAGCCTTTAACCAATATTAACTATTACTGATGGGATTAACATATACACACTACTATATATAAAATAGATAACCAACAAGGATCTACTGTATAGAACAGGAAACTATACTCAATATCTTATAATAATCTATAGGGGAAAAGAATCTGAAATAAATAAATAAATATATATATATATATATATATATATATATATAGTAAATCAACATTGTAAATCAACTATATACTTCAATTTTTTAAAAGACAAAAATATTAACTGTTATTACTTATACCATTAGTATTATTGTTATACCTCTCATCACACTGTTCTATGATATCCCCTCCTACTAAACATATCTTACTATCTTTACACCCTAGTGACTAACTTAGTGAGGCACATAGTAGATATGTAATAAATGTTGAAGGAAGGATAAAAGGACTGACTGTTCCAGGTTTGTGGTTTGGTTTCCTGTGACCACATAGGATTATGAAGGGATAACAACAACCTTAAGGCTTCTTCTGAATATCTTCTTGACCAGGTATCTATTTGCATTGTATAAGCAAGAGCTGGAGGGGAGTGAGCAAGAAAGGCACTTTGAGCTGGGCTGAACTGAGCAAGACTAAACTATTTCCTTTTTTTTCATTCATTGACTCTTGGGTCAAGAAGAAACTGACTTCCCTCAGTACCATTCCCTTCCACCCCCATCCTTCAGCCCCACCTCATCCTTTCCATTTGTCTCCTTCCCACTACCATGTTCCCCTCAAACATGCATAAATGAAACCCAGAAAGCAAAAGGAGCACTGAGGGAAAGGGGGAAGGAGTGGGAGAAGGTTAGCACCTCCCTCCTTCCTTTGCTGAGATCAAAGCCTGCATTTGCACTTGCCGGCCGGCTGGCCTCTTTCATGCCCTACCCCACCTGTCTGGGAATGGCATTGCCACTTGCCCATTTCCTTTTCTCTTCAACACTGGAGGGCAGTTTCAGGGTGGGGCCTTGAACTATTTCTAGTGCAGGCCAAATCCCTCCATCCCAACATCTTTGCCTTGTGTGATCAGATTTCCTTTCCACCTCGTCAGTAACAAGTGGCGGGAGCAGAAGGCAGGAAACTGTGAAAGAAGTCAGTTTCTCTACTGGCCCTTGGCGGAACCCATGGTTTAAGTAAGTGGGAAGCCACTGGGACTTCTGGGCTTTTGTCTGGCAGGAGGAACAGGCTCTTCTTTCCGCATCTGGGGGTGGGGAAGGTCCCAGTGCTTGGGCCAACATCCCCTGGGGTCCTGATGAGGCACCAGTTAGGCAATGCCTTCTTGCCCCAAGAGAAGAGAATTCACATGTACTGACATCCTACCATGTGCTGGGCTGGCCTCTGTGGTCGGCCCTTTAATGTATATTATCTCTGTGATTCCTAACAACCCAGTTGGGTCAGCATTTATCATTCTTCTGGTAGCAATGAGAAAAGAAGCTTGCCTGAGGCACACAGCTCAATCCAAGTATGAAAAAATCTAGCTCTGCCTGACTCTATGGCCAGGACTCTTGCCACCTCATCATGCTGCCTTGAGAGCTGAGAAAACTGTTCATGCCATAAATTGGCTCTTTGCATTATTCCACAGAATTAAGTGAACAGCCAGCTAAACCTTTTGTGAATTAATGTAATTCAGCATAATTTTAAAGTAAAGGTTGAAGGAGAACCTTGAGTTCAACTCTACAGGCTCTACAAAGAGAATGTGACATAAGTTTCTGCCTTTGCAGAGTTCACGGTCCCATAGAAAAGAGTTAACGAGTGCAAAACTAAAAACATAATATAACACAGAAACAGAAATACCATGAGAGAGCCAGAGAGGGAAAGAGGGCACCACCTTTGCCTTAGATACAGCCTCTGCCTTCCTCGTGCCTGTCTCTTCCCTCAGCTCCAAGCAGAGCTGCTCAAGGCTGCGATGTGGAACTGGATCACAAAACAGGGACTTCCTTATATCATCTGTGTTCCCTAGCCTAAGAATAGTGTAATAAGTAGTACCTAGGAATAATATTTGATTGGCAAAGGTGGGGAGATGTTTAGGAACCCAGGCTTACCTGCAGCCAGACTTCTTCAGCAAAGAATGGGTTACTTATCAGTTCGTTAAAGCCAGATGCTCAGACAGCCAGGACAAGAGCCTCAATCCCAGTCAAGCTGAGCTCCATCACGTGGCAGTCAGCTCTGGCCCCAGCTGACCGTCTTGCTACCATGTGCTCTCACCCCAAGAGGGGGCTAAAGCTGGAGAGCAGCCTGAGCATGCAGCAGGTCCTCACAATGAGGACATGTTGTTCCAGACACTCAGTGCAAAACAGATAGCTCACGACATGCCTTACTGACAGAGGATCAGCAGTGTTATCTTCGTAGATGGAGGCAGAACATTCCCTCCTCCTAGATCTCAGCGAGGCCCCTTGCCTCTGATTTTTATAGCATTTGATGCCAGGGGTTTGGGTGTCTCAGAGTGACTTCTTCATTGGAGCTGCCTTTCTTCTATTGCTCACTCTAAGCCCATCTTTCCTTGCCCATGAAATGAATGTACTACTTGACAGCCTCTGGAGTAGGAGAGGCCACTTAAGGAGAGAGGGCTACACCTGTTTGAAGCCTTCTCTTCAAGAGCCAAGCCCATGAGTTTCTCAGGCTTGGACTAAGGGGCCCTCCTTAGCTAAAAATACAAACCTCTCAGGTTTCTTGATCAGAATGGGGGGGTTAGTTTCTGTAAAGACGATCTCTACACAAGGCATCTTCTATCTCCAGAACTTGGGACTTCAGACATCAGCGAGTAATAACTCCAGAAGAAAGGAGCTAGACTCTTCTCCTTTTTAGGTCAGTCCAATAAAAGAAAAAGCATTATGAGCATTGGCACAGTCTTGGTGATTTTTCTTTAAATTAGATATGAGGAGTCTTCTGTCGTAGATGTGCAAGTCATCTTCCCATCAAATTACTCCCATAGATTCCACAAAGATGTGTTAGAATCCCTAGATATTATTCCAGAACCTCTCCCATGGTGCCAGATATACATCCAGACTCTTAACAAGGATAATTTGATGGCAATGGCAGTCACCTTGGATTATTTTTAAAAAGCTGTTTGAATGACATCAAATTCATGACACATGCCAAGATCCCTTGTTTTCATGCCCTCTGTACCATTTTTTTTCCAGGGAATTTAAATTTCCCTGGCTTACTTACTGCCTAACAATATCACTATTGAAAGCACATAATGTTAAGGACCATATGCTCTCTCTCCAGAAAGTGTGTACAAATACTATTTCTGTTAAAAACTAAACAGAAATAGTAGCTTTGCATATTTCCCATTCAAAAACTTCTCCCAATTGAATGATTCCCTTTGTCATGGAGTGTTTTTCCCCAAGCGGTCCCTAATAGAGAAGCTGAATCAGATATTGTGACTTACCAAAGGTCACAAGGAATCATCTAGTGAGCTAGAAATAGAAACCAAAAACCTTTATTTTGATTCCCTGAATTTAAAAACAAACCCTACTACAGAAAAAATAGAAAAACTAGGCTCATTTGACATTCCTGTTGCAGGGAATTCAAGGCAACCAAAACTAACAGGCCTTGATCTGTGAGGGCCAAGGAGGTGACTAAGACAGGTGCTGCCTGCATTTAAGGAGCTGATAATCCAATATAGGGAGATCAGGTCACTGTTGAAAAATCCCTACACACTGGAGAGCACCTAGAGGACCCCAAAGGAGGGCTTGTCCATCTTCACAGCCCCTACAGCAGCCAGCAGAGTGACCTGTATGTGATATGCAGGCAAGCACTGTCTACTTGTTGAACAAGGGCCATAAGAGATGTACCAACAGAATGCTCTGGGGCTTGTGTAGAATGAGGGACAGCTTTGTGAAGGAGGTGACATTTGAGCTGTGCCTGGAAGGTTGGAGAGGTTTTTCACAGGCAGCAAGGGATGGGGGAGGGATTTTGCAGGCCCCAGGAAAAAACAATGGCAAAGATCCTCAAGGGAGTGAGGGACCAAGCATGGTCTCATTTGGGAGAGCCCAGAGCCAGCCAGTGTGGCTAGAGAAGAAGGAATGAGTGAGCTGAGGCTGGAGAGAAAAGTTGAGATGTGAGCAGAGAGGACCTTGAACACCAAGCCAAAGAAAGAATTTTGCAGTGGACTGTCACAGGAGGTTTGAACAAGGGGACCAGTTTCCTGCTGCACCCTCCTGCCCTGTCCATCTGGGCCTTCCTTGCCTTGCCGGTAGCAGTGGGTTGTTATTGTTGTTCTGATTGTCTGTGGTTTGGTTTGGAGGTTTTCTGTGGTTTAGTTTGTTTTTTGGCCTTTCCCTTTTCCTTACAGTTTTTCACAGCATATGGTCCTGATTATGTGCTGGAAATAACGCCAAGCTGCCGGCCAGACCGCAATGAGCCCCACCGAGTCCAGCAAATCCTCAACTACATCAAAGGTGAGCACCACCCTTCAAATCCAGCTCTCCTCATTCCACCCAGCTTGGGGTGTCCCATCAGTGGGGGCTTCCCCAAATACCATTTGTCATTTGGTGGCTAGACTTTACACTGACTCAAAAGGGAAACCTCTTCTCGGCCTAAGAGCTTGTAGTTGGAATTCTGCACTGGTCACTCTGGTTGGGATTGTCATTTGGCCAACTAATGTCACCTTCAGGGAGACAAAAGTTTCATCTTTAAGCACCTCCAGTGGAAAGCCAGTTCTAAAGTGTGCCCTGGAACTCTCTTTGAAAAGGCAACAGTAAAACCCTCTCTAAGATAAGAGAAGGTCAAGTCAATTCAGACTTGGGATTGGACATGGGGGCAGGAGGGCTCTCAGGCATTCTGTTCCAATGTGGTTCATTGGTCCAATAGAGCTTGGAGTGACTGTGAGCCCACAGTGAGTAGTCAAAGATTTTGAAGTCATGGGAGTGGGTTCCCCAGTCTCACTTAGAGCACTGGAGATTTGGCTGCTTCCCTATTCTTCCTTTCCCTAAGGTTGGCCTCCAATTATTCTGGCCTCTGGACAGAGGGAAAATGGCAGTCATCAGGTTATTGCCCACTTGATCACACTGTCCACTAGCTGTTTGGGGACACTGTAGAAACCCCCCTCCCAACGCCAACTGCTGTTTCACAACTAAACTCACTTCATCTACAATTTTTTTTTCAAGTTGTTTTGGTACCCACATTCCTATTTAATTGAATTTGTGTGTATGTGTGCATATTTTGGGGGGTCCTAATTATTTGCAGAGTTAGAAGGCCAAAGGTATCACATTGCCCATAATGGAGAGTGAAATTCCTGTGTTTATTCAACTAACAACCAAGATAGCACCAGTTCTCCTAACTTTGATTCCCTCATTGGAATAAAATCCAGCACAAAAGAGAAGCCCGTTCTGTGTCAGAGTTAGTCTGAGGGAACACGTTGTCCTGGGGATCTTTGCCGAAAGTGATATTAAGGCCCTGTCATCTAGAACAGCCCAGTCTGTGACAACAGCCTAGTCCATAGCCAGTGACTCCACATCCCAGGCTCCTTTGATGAGAGAAAGATTTCTAAGCTCATGAGTCATAAACTCATAAGGTTGTACTCACAGCAGTGCTTATCAACTCTCTCAGGTATCTAACAGCCCTCAGCCTTTCCCTGACCCTATAGTTTCAAGGCACCTCCCTCTGGTCTCTCAATGGCTACCAACTTCAAAGTCTTCACTTCCTAACCAAATCCTCCTCCCTCCTTGAACCTTTAAGGCCTTTAAAATCCTTCTTTTCCTGGCCTTTCTCTAGCCTTTCTTACTACACCGCAGACTTGATTAACACATGCTCCCACCCTTGTTTCCTCCTGTCCCTCTCAGATCCTGGACAAAATTCTCATACCTCCTTTCCTTTCACCTTGCCATTTTCCTCTCATCCAGACTCTAAATCCTGGTAGAGCAGAGACAAAACAATAGAAACAAAAACTAAACAAGGTTCTGCAGCCACTTGCTCACACCTACGTATGTGCAGATATCTTTATGCCCTTACGCTTTCCTGCACGTGTACCCAGACACATATCTCCAGAGAGTGCTGACATCATGCTATTGAGGAAATGGAAATTCAAAGGGAAGAGAATTAGGAAAGATAAGAAACCCAAAAGAAGAATACATTTTTTAAAAAATACTCATTTAAAAAATGAGATAAAAGATTAGTTTGAGAATTGGTTAAAAAATAATCATAACAGAAAATTTTAGAGGATATACAAGTTACATGGAAGTCAAGATTTTTTTAAAATATCCTAACAGGTTAAAGCAATATTCTGGTTGCAATACCATGAAATTAACATATAGATCAGGAATTGGGTCTTCAAAAGCAACTGGACACAAGCAAGATGGGAAGACATGGCTTCACGGGATTTTGTCTGCAAGAGTTAGGGATTTTAGTCAGTATGAGTCACCATGGCAAAGTAGCCTCCAGAGATGTTAATGCAGTATTGATCTTACTTTAAAAGATCTTGAGACAAATAGGAACATATGTTTCAGGAGGTCAGGATGGGGAGAGGATTGGAGCCCAGGCTCCAAGAGGTCTGGTTGGAGGAAGATCTGGGTTTTTGGAGAAGACTCAGGGGGATGTTGTCCCATATCTCTGAGAGGCTGTCACAGAGCAGAGGGTATAGACAGAGTCTATGTGGTCACAGGGCACAGAGCTAGGACCCATGGGTAGATATTATTAAAAGGCAGATTAAGCAGATTTTCATTCAAGATAAAGAATTTTATAATGATTACAGCTGTCCAAAGTGGAACAGACTGCCCAGAAAGGAATGAGGTCTCTATTGCTGGAGACCTACAAATAGAGACAAGGCAGTCAATTGGCTGTCATATTGTAGATGGAGTCCTGCATTTGGAGGAGGGTGATTGTACTAGGTTATCGTTAAGGCTCCATCCAATCCTACGATTCTAGGATGCTGTACATTAATTATGTGAAAATAAAAAAACAATAAAAGGAAGATGAGAATGCAGGGGTTGGTTGATGAGTCATAGTTGGGGGGGGTTGTGGAAGAGGTAATACTGTGTATAGGAAAGAACTGATGAGGAGAAGAAAAGAAACTAAGTGGCTAAGAGTGGGTGGGGAGGAGCCAGGGAGGGCAGACAGCAAGTAGAATGGCTATAGATTACTAGGAATCTTCAGATTTTTCCATTTAGCCATCCCTTTCATATTGACGAAGTGTTCTCGTGATGCAAATGAGCAGAGCACATAAATCCAGAACCAAAAAGAAATGCAGTTAAACCTACAAGAAATGAGGCTAGAAAGAAGTCCAAATGTTGTTTAAAATGGCCAGGCTAACCTGCTATACTGAGACCATGCCCCTCCAGCCTGGTGACACGCTGCCATCAGATAGTGCGTTGCCATGACAATGGTCAGTGTGGAAAGGCTGCTGAATTTTCTGCATTCTGAAAGATTTTCCTGAACCTGCGTAAAAGACTATCATCTGTTCTTCAATATAAAACCTCAATGAGGCTGGCTATTTCTTCCAGTGCCTCTCCCTCTCCCCCTCCACACCTCCCCGCATTAAAAACAAAGGTGGTGGGGCAGAGCCAAAGATTATTTGGGGAAGTGCATGGCAATGAAGAAGTGGATGGACTACATTCCACTCTATGAGAAGGAGTTTCACCAGCATATCTGGTTGAATTTATTTAGCCTTTGAGTTGGGTTTTCTCTCTTTCTCACCACATCCCTTAGAAGCACAAAAGATGGGATTTTTTCACCTATTGGAGAGCAAACCTGAGGAGGTTCATCTTATAGTGATAAATTCCATATGCTACAGGATGACTGGCAAATTTGAACCTCACTTTATCCTGTCTTTACTGCCTATTAGACTTTCTGAGAGAGGAAAAAAAGACAAAAATAAAACCATGGAGAGTCTATTCAAGCTGTTAGGTTTATACAGAGAAAAACTATGTGTTGTTCCCACAAATCATTCTTCTCATGTCAATGAATCTTGAAGATTTGTGTGATTGTTCACAAGGAAGTATAGGTTAGAAAGTGGATCATTTAATCTAGATCATGACCACTACTGTAAAATCACCCTTGAACCATCTTCATGTGCTCAAACTTGTTTGCCTTTCCTCTCTGGTTGACGTACTCCAGAGGAGTTAGCTCACAGAGAACCTTCCAGAGTTGGAACACTGCTGATGTGATCAATCCCCAGAGGCAGCTAGCTCCTTGAGCCTGCCTAGCTCTACATGGGGAAACAGGGATAGAGGTTTTCTAATCCCTGGTCCTGATGACATTTGAGTCAAGTAAAAGTCCCTAGGGGGCCAAAAGCTTCATGTTGCCGTCCAGGCCAGACCTGGTGGGGGAGGGGCAGGAGAGAGTGAGTTGTGCATATGTGAGAATGTGTTGCAGTTGTAACTGGAGGTTTCTACACTTGCTCCGAGTTCCCAGACTCTACCCTATGTTTGCCAGAGATAGAAAAGGAAACAAATGGGACCAGGAAGTAAGGAGGAGGCAAGAAGGAGATAGGAGGACATAAGAGGACATAAGAGGGAAGAGCAGGTCTTATGCACATCTGCCCTTTCTGACCCTTAATGAAGGAGACTTAGTATGGCAGCCTCTATGGTGCAGGGTTGGGGAAATGGACCAGCAAACAAAAATGTGGCTGTTGGGAGAGACACTACAGGAGAAATAATAAGAATAATAGCTAATATTTATCTTACAGATGAGGAAACTGAGGCTCAGAGCGTATAAATTACTTGGCCAAGGTCACCTTTATTCATTCAGCAAGTAATTACTAAGCACCTACTCTGTGCCACACACTGTGTTAATAGGTAGTGGAGCAAACATTTGAACCCAGGACTGTCTGAATTGAGGCTTTGGAGTCAGGTTTGTCATTTCCAGTGTCCTTCCTCTCTTTGCAGTGTTGCCCTATCAAGCCTACTCGTCATCTACTTTTTCCAGTCACCCCTGGTAAACCCCTTCCACCCTGTACTACATACTTGGCTCCTTCTGTGTGGTTGATCCAAAGCACCTGAAATCTGATTTCTCTCTGGAAATGGGAGGAAATCATCCATAAGCAGCATTTGAAATTCTTGTCCCTGGTGTAGGCCTTTTAGCCATGCCCCCCCCCCACACCTTACTATACTATAACTGAACCTTCCAGCTCTATTTTGTGCTGAGTAGAGAAGTAAAAGAGAAAGACAGGTTGAAGAAGCCAGTCCACCCGACTCTTACTGTCTGAATTGTGCTGTGATCACCAGTCCCCATCTATTTACAGTTCCACAGCCCCAAGCCAAGACCCTTTGCACATCTACAGGTAATATTCTCAGGAGAACCACTGTGCTTAGTGTAGGCAGCACCTCCTCTGGCAGCCTCATGTCTGGGATTGACATTCTTCTAGGGACTAGCAATTGGGGCATCAGGTCTGGGCATGTCCAGGACCTGCTGGAGTCCCCAACTTGAAGCAGTGCTCCTGCCTGGTGGGACTCCACACCATGAA